TTAAGGACAGAGCAGAGGATGAAGGCCTGGCTTGTGGAGTTTCAGAGGGAAGTATAAAGACTCTTTTGAAGTCGTTTGTTATTTTGAATTAAGATTCCATGGTTCTGGTTAGCTGGGGCAGAAGAATCACCTGTGATTAACAGGATCCCAGAACTACTGAAGCAAAATCTTTGCTTTGCTAGGGTACTTGATGCTGGTCAAATGGAACTGAAAAATTAGTGCTGCTTAAGAAGAGACTATTTCTGTTGAGGTGAAATCTCTTTGAAAGTGTTTCCTGAAAGTCAGTACACAGAGGCTGTGTTCCAGACATGACCAAGGTTGTACCTGACAGCTGAACTTGGTAGTGGAAGAGTCACCAGGTGATACTGGTTTTGAAGGCATGAAGCTATCCTGGAGAGAGGCAGAGGCTTGGCACTGTGTGGCAGGGATGGAGTCCCTGAAGAGAACCCAAGAGAGGCTACTGGTAAAAGTGCAGGCCAGTAACAGCAGAGACCCCAGCATTCTGGAAATGCTGGTACCATGGGACAACTACCAATAACAGCAGAAGTAGAAAGGTGGAACTGGCCAGAGCCTAGAAGACAAGCTGTGTGTGCTGTAGAGGACAGAGTTGGAGGGGTGGCCCAAGCCCTTTGAAGGAGCCCAGAAGATCGTGAGTGGATCCCAGACATTGAACTTTGAGTTATTTACACTTTGGGGAGTTTGGTTTTGCTTTCATCTGATTGTGGCTGTACCCTGGTTCCTTCCTCTCGAAGTGAAAAGGTATTTAACTTAATTTTGATTTTTTTTTTTACAGAAGACCACAGTTGAGAGATTTTGAACTTTTAAAAGAGGCTATGCATTTTTTAAAGAGACTAGATATTATAATGGGATTGAACTTTTTAAGTTTTTGAATTTGTAAGACTGTGAGACTTTTAAAGTTACTTTTGTTTTTAATGTGAGATCTCAAGATGGTTGAGAAAGGAAAGCTTGTGGCATAACTGTTATGATCCAGCATGAGACTGAACCATGGAGGGTGGGGGACAACACACCCTTACAAGGAGGTTTTGGTGGGGGAAGGAGAGAAAGAGAGGAGAGAGAAAGGGAGCATAGAGAGACCTTGTGGGAAGAGAAAGAGAGAGAGAAAGGGAAGGAGAAAGAGAGAGAAAAACAGAGACAGAGAAATGCAGGGAGAGGAAGAGGAAGACGAGAAAGGAGTAGGTGGAGTTTCACATTTTAAAGGGAAGGGCAAGACCACATAATAGGCCAGGGTATTGCCTGCCATGCAGTAGGACCAGGCCAAGGTCTACCAGGTCCCCAAGGGCGAGGTCAGGTGTGCCTGGATGCTAACAATAACAGTTGTGTGTTTGTGGATCAAGTGGACAAGTTGTGCCTGGATAATTTTATGTCAACTTGATACAATCTAAAGTCATCTGAGAGGAGGGAGCCTCAGTAAGAAAATGCCTGTGTAAGATGGGGCTGTAGGCAAGACCCGAAGGATGTGACCCCTTTCATGGGAGTCACCTAAGAGCATTAGAAAACACAGATATTTACATTATGAAGTAGAAATTAAATAATCTTACGGTTGGGGGTCACCACACCATGAGGAACTGTCTTAAAGAGTCACAACATTAGAAAGATTGAGAACCACTGCTATAGGACATTTTCTTAGTGATTAGTGGGGACGGGCCCAACTCGTTGTGAGTAGAGCCGTCTCTGGGCTGATGGTCCTGGGTTCCACAAGAAAACAGGCTGAGCAAGCCATGAGGTGCAAGCCGGTAATCTGCACCCCTCTGTGGCCTCTGCATCTGCTCTTAACTCCAGACTCCTGCCTTGACTTCCTTCAGAAGGGGATGTGAAAATATAAGCCAGATAAACCCTTCTCTCCCCAACTGGTTTTGGTCATGGTGTTTCATCACAGCAATAGTAACCCTAACTAGAACAATTTTGTGTCTTGGTACTTAGCTAAAAGAACTAAAATTCTTAAGCTAAGATGTTCCTAGAGAGGCCTTTGGTGTCTTTTAAGTTAAGAACATGACTTCTCCAAATAGGAATATTGAGTCCTCCCTTTCCTAGTTTCCTATTTCACCTCACTGGTTTAAAGTCAGAGCAATGATCAATGTATTGACTAAAGGGGAGAAGGTCGATACCCGTGTCTCAGCCCTGATTTTAGAGGAAATACCTGGAGTTTTTCCTCATTTAGTATAATGCTGCGGTAAGGTTTTCATTTACCACATTCAAGCATTTTCCTTCTTTTCCTTCTGGAATGTTATCATGAAGAGGCGTGGGAGCTTGTCAAAGGTCTGGTAGGATGAGTAATGAATCGGCCTGACCATTGCTTGACTTTCTTGGGAGGCTATTACTCTCTCAATCCCATTGCTCATTACATAGCCCCTGAGCTGTTTACATCCTCTTGATTCAGTTTTGATAAATCATATAGGAGTAGGAACTTACCTGTTTTTTTTTTTTTTTAGTTTTTCCGTGTTTTTGGAATATGTTTTTCGAAGTGTTCCCTAATGACCCTCTAGGTTTCATTGGTGACAATGCTAATGTTTCCTTTCAAACTCTGTGCTCACTTGGTTCTTCCCTTGGCCAAAGTTTGGCACTTGTATTCATGTTTTCAGAGAACCAACTCTTTGTTGCATCGATTCTTTATGTTGTCCTCTCAGTCTCCATTAACTTCTACCGTGATATTGATTATTTCTCCCATTTACTCATTTGCTGTTTGGTTTCCTCCTGTTTCGCTACAGTGTCGTGTGACTCATTCAGTCATCTGTCCGTGTTGCTGCTGTTTGTTATGTAGACATTCGGAGTTGCGAGCTTTCTTCTTAGAAACCCCTTTGCTTTATCCCAAAGGTTGTAGCTGGCTGTGTCTTCATTTTAATTTCCTTCTAAGAAGGTTTACTTGTCACCCTGATTTCTCAATGATCATTCAAGAGTTTATTGTTCAAACTCTGCACATTGTCAGTTTCTCTTGCTCTGTATTTCTAGTCTTGTCCATTACTATCTCATAATAAAAAAGAAATGAGTTTAATTCACGTGATTTGAAGACTGACTTTCACAGTTTATTTGTAAAATGTCCTTCATAGGCTCATGTGTGTGAACACTTGGTCCCTAGCTGGTGGCACTTTGGGGAAGATTTTAGAATATTTAAGAAGTGGAGCCTGGGGTGACTTACTGGGAACTGCCTTGAGGTCTTGTGATCCAGCCTTACTTCCTGACTTCCCATATCCCAAGTGTGGACACAAAGTGACCTAAATGGGACACACTTCTTCTCCTGCCACCATGCCTTCCCTGCCTGATACCATTTATTCTTTGTGTCATGATGACCTCTAACTGCCTGGAACTGTGAGCCAAAATACAAGCGAACCCTTCTTCTCTTACGGCACTTTTGACACTGTCTCTTGTCACAGATATGATAGTCACTAAGATTGTGTTACAGCCTAAACTGCATTCTCTTTTCGAGAAAGTCTCATGGATGCTGAGAAAGAAGCTATGGTTGGCACTCTGAGAGAATTTCCAGTAGACGTCCCTGATTTGATCCATTTGATGTACGGTGCAATTAACCCCAAAGCTGGTTGTTTTCTGAATGACCTATTTGGAGAGAGTTATTATAAACATCTGGACTCATCTGCCCATTATGTGCAGCAGTATTGCAAAATTGGATGTGTCAATATTTGGTACATATATTTGTAGTACTTATATCTTTTATAACTTTTATAACCTTCTTTCTCTTATCTGAGAAACTTTTCCTTCAAACCTACTCTATTAGACGTGAGTATGCTTTGTTTTCAGTTTCCCTTTGTCTGGAATATAATTTTCCAACACTTTGCTTTCAGTTCATAATTACCTATGAGTCACCTCTTGCTTTTTTTGTTTTTTGTTTTGTTTTGTTTTAATCAACCAGCTACTCTTCATTTTTAAAAGGAAAAGTTAAATGTATTTACATTAGGCTGCTACTGAGCAGAACTTGCTGATTCTTGTATTGCTGGTCTTTTTAATTGGTTTAAATAGAGTTTGTTCATTTTCCATTATCCATCACAACGTTTTTCTGATCTGCTGAAATTGAAATTAATTTGTTCAAGGTGTGTATTTGTTTCTTTTGAAACTTTTTCTGCCCCAAGCTCTTATTAAGATCTTATTCCCCTCTATGCATAATTTCTCTAAGTTTATTCTGCAATGTGTTGACACCTTAGTTTTATTTATTTTTTATTTTGTGCTTGTCTTAGAAGGTCTTTATTTCCCCATCACTTTTAAAAGACAATTTTGCTGGGTATAATAATCGTAGTTGTCAGGAATGTCTACTTTCAAGGCTTGAACAGCTTCTGGGGTAGTTAGGGTTTCTGCCAAGAGGTCTATTGTTATCAAGATAAACCAAGATAAAGTTGCCTCTGTAGGTGAGCTGGCATTTTTTTTTTCTCTTGCAGGTTTTAACATTTTTTTTTTCTCTGTAACCTTTTTTTGTGTTGTTTTGGGTTTTTTTTGTTTGGTTGGTTTTTTGTTTTGTTTTGTTTTTTGGGAGGTGGGGGCAGGATCTCTCTGTATTGCTCTGGAACTCTTTTAGAGAAAGACATTCTTAGTGACATCACTTACTGAGTCATAAAGTTTCCTGGGAATAATGTGGCTCATTTTAGAAGACAGGAAGTTATTTCTTAAAAGATTTAATTTTCAGACAATGGAAAGCATTTAATTATCACAGGTAGACTTTAAATAAGTGAAATTTGGGGACTGGTACCTCATCTATAGTTTCTTTTTTTCTTTTGAGACAGGGTCTATGTAGCTCTGACTGGGCTCGAACTCACAGAGATCCACCAGTCTCTGCCTCCCAAGGGCTGGTACTAAAGGCATGTACCACCATACCCAGCAAGCTTATTTCTCTTAAGCCTTGGGCCAAAATGACAAAGAACTGGGATAGAAGATTTTGCTTGGAAACCTAAACATTTTGAAGCCATAGTAACTTCATTCCTGCCGTGTAGATCACTACACATTAACAAAACTTATGCACATCTCTTTCCCCTTTGTAGATGAGGACTACCCGCAAGGTTTCTGTCTGGCCTGTGGGCCTCGTTGGCGGGCGACGCTATGAACGACCACTGGTGAAAAATGGCAAAGTTGTTGGCTGGTACACCGGGTGGAGAGAAGACAGGCCTTTTGCTATCGACATGGCAGGTGAGCCGTGTGCATGCGGGTATTTGTTCCTATTGGGTGGGGCTTAGGATGCTCCTAGAAGGAAGCTTTAAACGACCAATTTGCATAAAGCCCTGGAAGGTACTTCATTCATAGGTGGAAATATTTGAATATCCAAAATAGGTTCTTTGACTGTTCAAATTGAAGCTGATTTCGGAAGTGGTTAGAAAATAGTCATCCCTTTTATTCTCTTATCTAACAAACGTTTGTGTATCGGTATTGGATTGGGCATGAGAGGGTTAGAGTAATAGAGCCATGGTTCCTACCTCTCTCTAATTTCTCAGTTAGAACCTTTTGGTGCCCCTGTGTAGAAAGCTGGTTGATGTATTAAATATATTGTAGTTAAGAGGAACGGGCTATGTCCCGCTGCCCGGCTCCCAGCTGCCTGGCTAGCTTAGCCCCCAAAATAACCATACAAAAACTGTATTTGGTTTAATTAATACAATTTCCATGTGGTTATTTCTGGGTTTAAGTTAGCCGGGTGGTGGGACACAGCCCGCTCCTTCTACTACAATTTATCATGTTTATTGATAAGTTTAGTAATGAATTAAAATTGACAAGTCATTTCAATGTTTGTTGGTAAATTTAGTGGCTTACTAATAAATAGCTAAAACATAAAATTAGATTCTGGTTTTCCATACATGCATTACTTTTTGAATAGAACTGTATTTTAAAGTTGTTATTTCCTGGCCAGCCAACTGAATTGAATTAGACCTGTGTAAACCTCAAGTTTTCAAATACTGCTTGATCATGAAGGGACTCATATTCTGTGGGTTACAGAAACTGAAGCTTTTGATTGCTGTGCCAGGATGGGTTTGGAACATGAGGGTTAGATGGAAGACAATCACTGCCATCTATAACTGACAAGACGAAGTCAGAAAGGTTTCAGAATTGATCACATCCATTACCAGCACTCTCTGTCAACCGGCACGCTCCCGGTTCTTTCGTGTGTAGTTCCCACCCACGGTCAGAACCTCTGTGCTCAAAAATACTGTCTTCTAAACTGGACTTGCGGCATTTATTCTGAAACTAAAAAATTTGAGAAAATAAGATTGTAAAGAATGTTAGAAGTTGAGGATGAAACTCTCCCGGATGGCTGCATGCAGGATGTGACACAATGCATCTTGGGAAAAGACAAATGATTTGTGCTCCATATTTTACATGCTGCAAAAAGAGCATAAATTTGAAGATATCTGCTGAGGTCTCTGACCCCTTAGCTAGCCTAGGTCCCTTGTTCCTACTCTCCATGCCTTGATCTCTCCATATCCTTGGGGTTTAGTTTTTAAGGCTCTAGAGCTATGCTGGCACCTCAGCTAAGACATTTACCTGGAGCAGCTGTGAGGCAGGAGAGCCATGCTTGGGAGAGCCCGAGGGGTCTTATTTCCTTCCTTCCTTCCTTCCTTCCTTCCTTCCTTCCTTCCTTCCTTCCTTCCTTCCTTCCTTCTTTTCCTTTTTGTTGTTAAATTAAACTTTTGAGAACTTCATCTGTCTTTCTCACCCCTCCTTTGTCTCCTCTGGATCCTCCAGTGGCCCCCCAATTCATGACTACTTCTTCCATTTTTGTTACGTGTATATACATTTGTATATATTTATGCAGACACTCATAAAAGAATCCTTTCCCATCCATCCCATCCATGGCTCTGACAATACAAGGCTAAACATCACGCATGCTGGGAAATTGAGCATCCTCTTGACTATGGCATAAGCTAGAGCAGAAAATGTGTCCTTCCACTTGTCTGGGATGCAGTGTCCTCCTGTGGGGAGAGAGGAGGCTGCATGAGAGGACCACTGTCTGCCGACCCCCAGTGTCATGTCTTGATAAACACGAGAAGAAGAGTAGGTGCTGGGCATGCAAGTGAGGATCCAGGACTGCAGCAGAAGTCAGCTAACAGACCTTTGGTCCTCAACTTCCCTGGAGACCGTTTCAGGGCCATTACCCAAAAAGCTTGCAGGACGCAGTTACCTTGCGTGAGCAGCTTGGATAATTCCTAGCACTTGTTTCCAAATTGATATTTCTGCAAATCAAGGAAGACATATGGGTTTGTGCATAGGGGCCTCTTACTGCAAAACCTAAGAGATGTTTTTCACTGCTAACTTCTCTTTCCTATGGCATGGCCATTGTTTGGCCTTTTCTGAACATTTCAATACATTTTCAAATCACAATGAAACCTGCATAGCACAACAAAATATGATCTACTTGTTTTCTTGGTAGTCTTACTTTAAAATAGGAACTCAGTGTCACCTTCGAGGAAACGTCACTCCCCACATGCCTTTGTTTGGCATCTCAGTTTTCAGGGCATTATTGATATTTTTGGGAGCCCAGAAGTGCAGGTGATCTTGTCAGTAGAATAATGAGTCCGGGTCTGAAGTCTGCCCTCATTCTGAAACTTCGAAATGCTTGTCGTGGTTTAGAGTTTGCTTGTCTGGTCTCCACAGGAACAGGTAACAGAGGTCGCAGGCCCTTAGAACCATGTGGCCTGTCCCTCCTCATTTTCACATTAGCTTGGAGAGAGAGGGTGAAGGAGACAGAGGGACAAGGGAAGATAGAGACATGAGCGGGGAGGAGGGAGGGAGGGAGGGAGGGACACAGAAAGGAAGAGAGGGGGAGAAAGAGAGATGGGAATGAAGACAAAAAAGAGAATGGATATGAGAATGAGTGAACAAATATGTGGGAATGAGAAGACCTGGAGGGAGAGAAGGAAGCCAGAGGTCACATCCTGTAGGGCATTGTGTTCAAATGGCTCTATGATGGTTGAATGTGAGGACATATTGGAGTGTAGGTCTCTCTAATATTATAAAGCCAACTAAGAAACCTGCTTTGAGGGTTTGAGCACGCTAAGCAGCAGTCCTCAGAACCCAACCTGTTGGTGTCTCCGTGAAGCGCATCACTGGAGTTCATGTAGCAGACATGAAACAGTGGACTTCTGCCTGACGCCATACATACAGTACTTAGACTGGTGTTTCACTGTCACAGTGGACTTTCCCGGTGCTGAAAAATCGCTGTCAGGTGGCACGAGACACTGCTTTGAAGTTGTCCTGTGTGTACAATGTTAACAAGGGAGTGAGGATTGGATCTGGTCCACGAGGGCGTTTCCTAAAACTTTCTAATCACTGCTCCTTACGGTAGCATGCGATGAGATGGGGAGAGGGTTTCACAGGCAGCTCCACTGTGGCTGACTGTTGGTTTCCGGTGTGACCCTGGAGTATTTCTCCTGGGCTGTGCCTCGGGCTTCTCTTCTCTTCTAGCATCTGACAACAGACTCGAAGAGAGGCAGCCCATGCAATGTTTTTAGCCCTGCTTTGTGGGCAGGGAATTACTTTCAAGTGACAGTCTCATTTTGGCCACTTCCACGGAAATGTCAGCGACAACCATGGCTTGAAAGAGCTGAGCTGAAAGGAATTTGAAGCTCAGAGGTCCAGATTTGCTTAAAATCGGAACTTTACGCTGAGATCCTTACACTGGACTTTTAAATATACACCTGTTTATATTTCTTTTTTTATATTAAACCTTTTTCATAAAATATATTTTGATCATGTTTATGCTGAATTCCTAATGTTTGCATGTACCTTAGCATTATCTCTAACAGGCTGCAAGTGGGGCGTTGTGCTCAGTTAACAACAAGCACAATTCCTAGGTGAATGACTGGCAGGCAGTAGCCACTCTATTCTGGTGTGCCACAATTCTGGCATTAATCCATTAAAGTTAGTTCATATTCCACAAGTTTGAGGGTTTCAGACAGACACAAGCCACACTTTAGGGATTTCCAGGCCAATTATGGCTCCTGAGACTCTATTGCATCAATGTGTTCATACACAAAAGTGGAGGTCCATTTGAAGTGCTATTCCAGGGTCACCACTGATGTTTTAGATGTTTCATGACTGACACAAACGAGATGTGACCACGAGTGTTTCCTCACACATGACTTACCAGGAACGCCTTTCCTAGATGTCTGTAAGTTCTCTGAATTCCCTGCCTGGCGGCCAGTGGCCCGTGGGTATGTGGTACCCCTTAGAAAGGAGGTGAGCATTAAGGGGAGTGGAGCTGCCTGGGATTGTATCCTGGGAGACAGAACCAGAGACGATGAAGGTCCTGGGGTGCACCCGTGAACATGGTAGTTGAGAGAATAGACAGGGAAATAAATGGGGCATCTGGTAGTTAAATACCTCAAGTTGTAGTTGGTGGTGGATGTTGAGTTTAAGAGCTGGGAGCACAAAATGCATCAGAGACAGAAGAATGAACAGGCTACACTTGGTAAGAATAGCCTGTCAGCAAAAGGGAAGAATGTGGCTTCCAGAAGAGCAGATGGCGACGTTTGACCCGTGAGAGGAGTGGTGAGGGCAGGAGTGGGCAGGATGAGTGTCGGAGGGGTTCTGAGTGCATGAAGCCAGAAAGGTCTGTATGGAGATGTCACTGGGGACACAAGAACAGGATGACCCTGACGTCCCTTCATCTCCAGTTGTGCTACTTGGAGCAAGTTCTGTTGTTAGGAATGGGGGCTGGTCATACACACTGTGGTTTCCATTGACACTAGCTTTTTCTGATCATTGGGCTTATCATCTTCCCAGGTGGCAGAGTTTCTAGACTCCGGGGCCCATCCTAGACCTTTGGGGGAAGTGGGTGGGTAATGGGTGTGGGGCTGGAGGGGGTCAAGGGTGATCAAGAGGTAAGAGAAAGATGGTATCGGTTTTGGGAGTAAGGAAAAATAGGATCTCCCTCCCTCACAAATGAGATGAGACCGTGAACGGTTTCTCACACATGACTTTTGCAGGAATGTCTTCCTACATGCCTGTCGTTCTCTTCATTCCCTGCCTGGAGGCCCGCGGTCACGGGTGTGTGGAAGCTCTGAGGACGGGGGCATTCATTCATGGAGGATAGAGCTGCCTGGGGGTTTCATCGGGATTTAGTCTCTTCACATGGCTACTGGAGAGGAGCCAGGGGGGGCAGGGGAATGGCTGCACTGAACCAGTAGGGAATTCCTAGC